CTGCTGCACAGAGCTGGTCCATCATTTGGTTTATATAACTGTATACAGTATTATTTTGAAGAATATTCTTCAAAATAAAGGGAAAGATTGACTTAGTTGCTACTTTTTTTACACAATTGCTTCATGGACATAATGAACTGTCCTTACATAGAGCCGTTGTTTCAAAAAAAGAGAAAAAAGGCACTATGAAGTAATGCAGGCTTCAAAGTGGAAAATAAGTATATATCTTTTTACATTTCCAGCAGGGAGACATCATTTTAGAATTCTTCCCATCATGTCATCATTTCCCATAATATTCCATAATGACCACCTGGCACAATGAAATAATGAAATGTTGACTCTGCTGAATATTTAAAGAGGGTTATACTTATTATCAGTGAGGAAGGCTATAATTCGTTCATATTGAAGCTCTTCTTGGTAAAATGAAGTTGCAAATCATAGTTACTTTATTAAAGCATAGCTTGGGAAATAAAAAGGACTTAGTTGCTTTCCTTTTGTATTAAAGAAGCATCAGAGGTGCCTGGAGACAAGCATTCTTTTACTGAATCAGGTCCCTAGTTTGCTTTATCAACTGGCCTGTGTAAAGGCCAACTTCCATAATGTTTAAACTAGTGCTAAAATTCCTCCACTTAGAAAATGTGGCTGTTTTCTAACAATCAGCCAGATTCATCACAGGATAGAAGGCAAATGTTGTTTCATATTAATTTGCTCTTAACTATTATATATCTACTTTTAAATTTAATAAATTGTTGTGCTAAATACAAGGTTTTGATATTTCAATTAAAGCAGCTTTATCTATATTTTGAAACATGCCCTAGGATGGAGAAATTGTAAGTTACCTCATATATATCACTGAGCTATGTCCCATGATCTCAAATACACAGAGCAAATTGGGAGCAAAAACCTGCCTTGAAGTCTCTTAATGTAGGGTTGCTTGTATTCCACTCTGGTCCCCTCACATAACCTACATCACCTTAAGGGCTGCTTTAACTCACTCCAGCTGTCACTGACCCTACGGAACTATTATATTTGATACAAATTGATAGGGTGCAATAGAATTCTGGTCATGCTGTTCAGGAAGTGTAGCATAGTATTTCAGATGCACATTATAAAATAATTTCTCTGCACTAGAGCAAAATAGCCATATTGCAGGTTGGATTTTGAGTGTTTTGTACTGTACCATCTTGTTCAATAGAAAATAAAATAAAATAAAATAACCTTGGTCATGGTCAACAATTGACAACCTCCTTCCTATAAGAGCTGTGGATCTGAGGGACAAAGGAAAAAAATTCCAGTTCACACATGCACTATACAGGCATTTTTGATTTAGCACTACAATCACTGAAAATTTTATTCTAATGGAGCATGCTTGAGACTCTTACAGAGTTATTGAACATACTTATTTCACCTACTACCCACAATAGGATTGTTTATGTGCCAGATCCACAAACTATAATCATATTCCTTCCATTCTAAGGTATGAAGCTAAACTTTCCCGATTGATTTCAGGCTCCAGGCCTGGCACTGGAACTGAGAGAAGAGATTCTGTCTCTCCTATACTCCCAATGGTCTTCCTGTTGACAACCAGGCCTTATGAGAAGAAAGTTGCCTGATTCAAATGCAGACAAAAGAAGAGCTGCTTTAGGGACTAGGGACCAATATAGGAGAGAACAGGGGAAGGGGAGACAAATCTGAGGTAGGGTGTGCAATGATCACTAGCTTCAAATCAAGCAAGCAGTGGGAAGCCATTGAATCCACTTTGACATCAGACATGAGCACCCTTGCCGACTAATTCCATAAATGGCATCTCCACTTCAGCCTCACTAAAATAGTGGCAACAACCTTCCACCTAAGTAACAAACAAGTGAAGAAAGAAATAAAAGTCAAGATTGGTGACTGGACAGTTGAACTTTGTTACACTATTACGTATTTAGGAGTCAAGTTGGACCGGGTCCTTACTGCTAGCATCTAGAAGAGGTCCATGGTAAGGTTAACATCAGAGGAACTCTTAAACTCGTATCTGTCACCCTGCTGGCACCACCTGCGGTGCAAGTTTCTAAACACTTTGTCACTTGTGTAAGCTCCTGCTGAGTACGGTGCACCAGTTTGGTGCTGGAGCATGCACACTAAGTTAGTGGCTTCCAGCCTTAACAGCATCATGAGGACCATTACCAGATGCCTTATGCCAATCCCAGTTGACAGTTTACCAGTCATCTCAGGCATTTCTCTCTCCCCCGTTCCCAACATCATGAGACAAGCTGCTACCCTGGCTCTATAAAGATCCAGAACATTTTTTGCACTCCAGCCTGGTAGCCACAAGCCAGAAAACCCCTTACCGAAGTCTCAGAACTCATTGTCCACTCAGGCCAATAAGCTCATCAAATCTGAAGATGGTATGTCAACTACACCATGGACCAAACATCAGTGGAGCAGGAAATATGCTTCACAAGAACTGCAGCTAAATAACTTCATTCCCAACACCAGCTTCTGCCCTTCAGGATGACAGCTGCCCTGCGGAGTCTGGACTGCTGTTAAATATCTTAGAATGGTCATTGCATGGTTTAAGAAAGCATATACTCTTAGGGCCTCTCCAACAACACTAGGTGCAGCTGTGGTGCTCAAGCTCAGACAGCCATCCACATCATCTATAAATGCCCTTATGGCCCTTCTTTGAGTGCCCAAAGTCTATTGACATTGACCATTCTACATTGTGTTGGCTTTCTGGCCCTTATGTGTCCAACATACAAGTGTGGTGACACTTGCTTCATCATTATCATCATCATCGTCGTCATCACTAGGTTCAACAAGACGGTCAGGCATGAATAAGAAGAACTAAACAACAACTAGTTTTCATTCATGCCTGAATGTAGTCAAGCCTTTGTGAACCCCTTTTCTATCTTTAAATGGCTACTACCTTACTGAGGGACCCTCTTCCAATTCCCAAATATTTTGAATTAGGGAGCATTTCTAAATTATAATTTTTCTCACTGCAGAGTATGATGTTAAAACTGTTACTGGCTTGGCAAAGAAACCATAGCAAGGATCCAGAGCAGTGAAAAATTAGGGCAAGGACTTTGGGAGGGGACTAAGGGAGACTAAAGTTAGATGAGGACCCCAGACAAGGAGGATTGGATTGGGAATCCATTGGTGGGAGAGGCTGTGAAGGAAAAGGCAAACTTAAATAGGAGTTGGGAAAAGGTAGGCTGGCTGGGAAGGTTAAAGGAATACAGACTGAGACTGGGAATCGAGGCTTAAGTACAAAAGAGACGGATTAGAGGGGATGGACAAAGTTCATATCGCTTGTAGGGAATGTCCAGAGAAATCTGTGCCTGTAGGAGCACACTCCCCTTTAGAGCTTGAAATGGAACTCAGGATCCCTGAGTTTCATCATTTTTCTGTTGAACATGTAAGAGTCCTGTGTAAGAATTAATATATAATCATGTAATTAAAGACTGCATCATAAAGTTTATATACCAAGGTGCTAAATTAAGGTTGCCCAGAAAATCTCAATTCTGGTATTACCTACCATTTAAGTTCTTGCTTTGCTAACTAGGAATACTTTTGTGAAATGTTTTTTCTTTGCATATGCTATTAATTACGGTAGTGCCTGGAAAACCCAAGCAAAATCATGGAACCATTGCTGTAAGCAGTGTGAAAAGTGTGGCAGAGCACAAGCCATAGGAATTTAGAGTCTAAGTATAATAAGTATTTTTTTAAATCTCAGTTTTACAGATGGGGTAATAAGGTACAATATACTCAAATGACTTATCTGGGTCATTGAGAATGTCTGTGGTATAGTTGAAAACTGAACTCAGATTACTTGAATCTCAGTGGGCATGTCTACACATGCAATTAATTTGAAGCAATAGACTGCAGTGCATATTGCACCAAAGTTTATTGCTCCTGGGCATGCCATTTGAACATGTGCCCAGGACCACAGCATGTTGAGCCAGGTTGGAACAGCCCCAGCTGGCAGGGGACCTAGCCTGTAAGCCCGGGGCTGCTCTGATTAGGCTCAACATGCTGCAGAAGAGCTGGCTGGGGCATGAGGGTAGTCTAGTGTGAGACTAGCCAGCAGGCAGCCCTTGCACTGAAACACCCATGTGCCCCAACCTGCCCCATTAGTGTCTACACATGTGTTGCTGTGCAGTAAATAACACCACTACGATAAGTACTTGTATTTACTGCAATAGCACTTGTATTTACTGCATGTGTAGACATGGAGACTTTACTGTGGAGCTAATTAGGCAGCTCCGCAGTAAATGTCTTGTGTAGACATGCCCAGTGGGCATGTCTACATGTGCATTTAAGCTTGTTTAAATTTACTGCGCAGGGGATTAGGCTGGGATCTGGACATGCAGGCATTAAAGTGCATTAATGCTATGTGTGGACTGACTTATGACTAAAGTTAGTCCCAAGTCAGTCCACACACAGTGTTACTGCACAGTAAGGCATCTACACGTGTGTTACTGTGCAGTAACTAGTCAGATGTAAATTTGATACCTGCATGAAAGTCGGCATAGGTTGCCATGTTTACTGTGTAGTGCAGGTGTGCACGTGTTGATGCACACCCATACTGTGCTGTAATTTCACATATTGTACAGTAAATGTGCATGTGTACACATGCCCAGTCAGTACTATAACCACATAACTAGCTTCTTTTAATGTCAAAAGTTGATTCCTCTTTCTATAGCAATTTATTTCTCTCAGCAATTCTCGCCTTCAACAGTTCTACATCTTCAGATGGTGATATGAGGCTGCAATATGTGTTGACCTCATGATACTTAAAGATGTTTAATTTCTTCCTCTTCAGTTAACAACCACTCCAAAGAGCTCCTTAGGGGGACAGTTCATGCTTGGCATACTAAAAATCATAAACCTTTATTATTCCTAGAGCATCTGGTGTCCATAAGAATCAAACTGTGATCTATGGAGAGCAGCAGGCACCATTTAAGGTTAGCCCTTTAGATAAGTATTTCATAAATGTATAGTAGTAGTAATGTAATGTAGTCATTGGAGATTTTATGTAGCTAATGACAGGTGTAATGAAGGTTGCCACAAGATTTCATTAGTTCAGTAGTTATGTGATTATTTTTCAGACTAAATGAGTTTTTCTCCTGCATTTTGATGTGAAATGAGACAAATGTGTGTGCACACAAAATTTCATAGCTGAAAAAACAGCAATGAACACGTACCTCTATGTTTCCATATTGAACAATGGCACCTTGCTGACTCCCATAATCTACAGAGGGTTATTCATGTTTAAAGAGGGCTCAGTAGTTATGTGATTATTTTTCAGACTAAATGAGTTTTTCTCCTGCATTTTGATGTGAAATGAGACAAATGTGTGTGCACACAAAATTTCATAGCTGAAAAAACAGCAATGAACACGTACCTCTATGTTTCCATATTGAACAATGGCACCTTGCTGACTCCCATAATCTACAGAGGGTTATTCATGTTTAAAGAGGGCGGGGGGGGGTGGTGGAGGGGGGGGGGGGGGGGGGGGGGAAGCTGTGTGTGTATGTATATATTTTTTCATTTTCATATAAATGGAAGGAATGCTAAACACTGTTTAGACTGCTGAACGTTTTGGCAAAAGCAGAGTGTGATGAAAATGCCTTGAAGAAAGATAATAAGGAACATGCAGGAAGGGTGAAAGCATCTGTTCCTTTGAATGGCATCATTAAATAGTTAATACACACAAACCTAGGCAATAAACTGTGATCTGACATATAGTTCTATGATAAGTGGAATAATTAAATGTTCTAGATAGTTAATCATACAGCAGTGCTTTAAAGATATAGTTGCCTTGAAAAGGCTTCCATTCCCTGAAGCTGCCCTCAAAACGTAGTCTATTATACACAGACAGTAACACATCATGTGACTGCCCATATAGTTTCTCAGCCTGGGTACATCATAGTCATGTCACTTAAGCCTATACCACATCTGTGTCTTTTACAACAACATAGACTGAAGATGGCACTGTTTAGTCATTGTTCTAAAAAGCTCACTTATTTCCATGTACTCTAAGAGAAAAAAATACCACTATACTGGGAAAACAGAGAAAATGAAGGTGTTAACATTTTATGGTAAATATACATTTTCTGCTGAGTCAGGAAACATTCTTGTTAAGGCCTCAATGCTGCAATGAATTATATTAGAACGAACTGTAGGCATTATAGTGTCACTGTTCAGAGCATAGGTGAAAATCTTTGCAAGATCAGGGCATACAATGCAGCTTTCTGATTCAAAGCACTGGAGAGGGTGTATGGTTTAATTAAACATGTTTCTATGATGAAAAAATGTCTATGAGAGTATACTTACTGGAAAATGCAACAGATAGGTCTTTAATAACAGTTACACGATAATCCAGGGATTTCTGAGAAAAATAATTGCTTTGAATTTAACAGGGTCAAACTTGGGAGATTCTCAATGGGTCTCCTGACCCTGTAAGCCCTAGTGCAAGTTTCCCATTGAGCAAGTGAACAGGCCTATTGACTACAGTGGAAATACTCACAAGCCTTGATTATGTCATGGATGCAAGTATTTGCAGAAATAGAGGTCAGATTTTGCACAGTATTTTCAATCTGCAACCAGTAAAAACTCATTAGTTTAAGAAACAATAATACGGATATTGTTGAAGCGGGAAACATAGATTCTTTCTGTGAATCAGCATGATATGTTAGCTGTTTGTGAAGATTTAGTTTTAAGTAAACAATAGATGCTGTAATTAAATATACTATTACTGTTGCATCTGAATCATAAGCAGTAATTTATGATGCAACAAATTAGAGGAGAGGACGCCCTCTTGAGTGTACCTGGGGTTAACTTTCTTTAGCTTGTCCTGCCCCTTTCACACATAGCTGATGGAAAAGAGAAGTTTCAAGCTGTGAACTTTTGCTGTTAACTTTCTGTTTGTGTTGATCTATTTTACTCTCTCTTTAGAAAACCTAAGCTTTGAGGACAAGCTCCCTTTGGCTATCATTAAATCCAGCTGGCCTTTCCCCTGAGAGTAGAGCTGTTAAAACCATGTAAACAAAGAAAAGCAGGATTTGGGGCAGGATAGGGAATGAAGAGAGGAAGTAAGTATGAATTACATTTTCTATTTGAAATGCTACTAAACTTTTTATTATCATAAGTGAAAACTGTCCTACCGAAATCTCATTATTAAAAAAATATCACCAAACTAAAAAATGCCTTATTCCTTTTTACTTTTTTTTGTTCAGAACAGGAAATAAACTGTCTTTCCTTACTTTGGAGAGCAGCTAATTGTTTAGCTGCAGAGCCATTCAAAGTATGTTGTTGCAAGCTTTGAAAATAGTTAAAAATGTGCCCTCTTGTAAGTCTGTGGAGCATCCGTGAAATATTTGCATTGCTGAAAATTCATTTGAAGCTGAGCAACACTTTTTCTGGAAGCCTGTAAAAATATCAGTGTAATTTTTATGGAACATATTTGAGTTTTAAAACAGGAAGGTTTGCTTTAGACATATTGTATTTGTCAGGCATCCCTGAGTGACTAAGCCAAAGGTATTTCTTTAGGATATTAACCTATCTTGACTTTTAACGTCATGCTTGATTTCATCATGATGGACTATAGTATAATGGCCAGAATATTCTCCTTTAAAAATGTTTTATGAAGCAAGACTATTTTGCCAACCCCCCCACCAAATCCCCCCCTGGGAATGATGATTAATGAATGAATGCATTTGTCAGGAATATCTTGGTGGTACAGGAGTTTTCACTTGTTCATAACTCAACATCATTTTGCAGTCCTCTCACTCATCCTACTTCTAAGATTAATATGCTGTACTGTGAAACTTGTCTTAACCTCTGTGTAAGAAAGCTGCCTCTTTTGTGGCCATTCATTTGTTAAACATGGAATCCTATTTACTTGTTTTATTTGTTTAGGTTTGTCCTTAATTGATATCTGTATCATTGGTTCCCCAAATTGTACGAAGCTGCACATTAGAGGGGGTGGCTTTGATTTTATTATATATCTCTCCAGAGCATTATGATTTTACCACAAGGGGAAAGGCTGATTTCCTACAGCAGACAAGTTTCTTGTGTTTGCCACTTAGAATTAGGATAGCAAAACAAGATTTCAGTACTAGGTACAAGGGAAACATGTACATGGGGTGTGTAGAGCTCCTTTGCCCATCAGCAGTATAGGAGAAGGTTTTCTCACACCTGCCTACTGTTCACCTATTACAGTTGCCACCTTTGGGCTTTTATATATGTGCTCTGGTAGTGGGGTGGAGGTGGAGGGCACTTTAGTTAGCATGGCTCTGAGAGCTGTTCTAAATAAAGCACCTGGAGCATCTTATGTATCATTGTCCCTGAACTTTAGATCAAGTGCCCCTGCCTCCATTTTTAAGTGTGGAAATGCTGATACACGAGATGCTGGAGATTGCTGGAACATGGCAATTAACATGCTCCAGGAGACTGAATTAATTTAATAATTACAGCACATTGGAACAGCCTTGCTGCTTATGTATAGGTACCTTGGTGCCTGTGGGGACTGAGCTGGAAGCTTCCAGGACAAAAAGCATAACCTTCTATAGCTTTTATTGAAGAAACAAAGAGTTATGTATTAGGACTTTAACAGACTCATTCTTAGTGGGTTGGGCACAGAAGGGGAACCTGTAACATTCTCACAATGTTTATGTACCCATACAAGCATTTAGGGCAGTCATACTCTTTCTCCAACAGCAGGGGGACAAGACGGGATGGCTGTGTGAAGGGTTGCTTCTTTTTATAATTGGGTAAGAGCATGGTTTCTCTCTCCACTCATTACCCTTTTTCTGTTCCCTGTGCACAGGACAGACAGCACTATTGGCATGACAAAGCTTGGAGGGGGGACAACCAGGGAACCAACACCAGGTGCCAACTTGGGTGGAGGGAGCAAAATATCTGGTGGTACAGCTACTGGAACAACCACCACCATCAGCCTAGTCACTGGGGCTGACTCCTCAGGGTGTGACATGCCCAGGTATGCATCTTGAATTTGGCTAAATTGGTTGCAATTGCTCCCACCAGATCTCTGTTATTCAAAGACTTTATGGCCTATTCCAAGGCACAGTGATGTATGTGGAATGGCTCTTAGTTGGCTTAAAGGTTACTAATAGCAGCTTTTAGGCAGAGTGACTCAGATAGGGCACTTCTTTCCCTTCAGTAGCACAGCTCATGCTTATAGGAGGAAAAATTTCCATAGGATCAAACTTTGGTATCTTCAGTCCAAACTGTAGCTCTGATTTATTTAGAAATGTGTATGTTCATGCTCTAGGAAAATCCAGCTGTGAATGGGCATGCTGTTAAAAACAGATAAAGCATGAAGACATAAAAATATTTCAGTGATCCCTGGTTCATTTGGACATAATGTTTAAAATCCTGCAATAGTATCACTGACCTACCTAAATTACAGGTGTTATTTTTTAGCTGTTCCCCCTCTTACTGCTTTTTTTTTGGCGCTCATGTGCAATACATATTTATCTGTGACAAAAGTAATCTTGGAGCTTCTCTGTCTGCTTGAAAGCATCAAGCAAATGAATTCTGCAGAGGCCTCTGCAGTGGTCAAAGGTGTTGATAGTTGCAATGAATAGGCTATTTAACCTGAGAACTAGCACAAACTAAGGTTGACCTCCAACTATTTGAGAAATACATTTACCAAGTAAATAAATTGGAAATAATGCCCTTCTATCTCAAGGCTAGGGCAGTACAAATCCAGGTGAAAAATGATACTATCTAAGGGATAGTGCATAAAAATTCACAAAAGACTAAAGTAACCCATCATGTTGCTTTGTCCTACATAAAGTATGGTCTGTAAGTAAGTTAAAAAAATGGTTAGGACTATTGACCACTTCTCTCCTTCTCTCCTTTCTTTCCAACACTGTTTTTAAACAGAGTATCTTAAGGTTGTATGCATACACAAGCATGATATCATACTTTATGCAATGGTTTCTAGTGAGGAAAAATCTCTTTAGTAATTAGTCTACTTGTGGAACCATCAAAGTTGGATAGGGGGACAAAATTGGCCACTGGTGCAAGTTAGAGAAGCTGATAGACTATTCTAATGTGTGTTTCCACTATTACCAGGAGAAGAAAAACACTTGTGCCAAGTGGTCCAGCAAGCCCACTATGCTGAGGGCGAAAGGGCTATTGTATTGTGAGGTGAAGGAGTCGTTCCTGCATTAACTATGTTTTGTTGTCCCTAACTAAAACACTACTATTTAGTTCTGTAGGATCAGTCTGAAGTAATCATTGACCAACTATAACCTGATAAGTTTTTGGTTGCTACCAGGCATATGAAATTAAAAAAAAAATCCTATGGGATATCTATAGATATCTATCTATATCTATATATTTATATCTATAGATAGATATATATTGATATATCTATCTATCTATTAGGGCTGTACAAAGTTTTGGTCCCTGATTTGATTTGGTGGAGATTTGGTCTGATTCAGTGGCTGAATCTCCAAATCTGATTGAATCAGGAGACCCTTTAATCTCTCTGAATCAAACTGGAACCCTCTGAATCAATTTGGAGAGATTTGGAAAGATTCGGCGATTCAGATATAGACACAGCTTAAATGTTTTTTCTACATGCCTCAAAGTACCAGGTGGCTTGTGAATGCTGTGATGGTGGGGCAGATGGAGCATTCCACAGGAGCATTGAGGCTTCCCAGCGCACTCAGCAGCAGATATGGAAGTGGACCAGAAGCAGTTCTGGTCCACATCCAGGTCCTCCAGGGAGTGCACTGGGGGACCTCTCTGCACCCTCATGGCTCAGTGACTAGTGCCTCCTGGGTTTTGGGGGGCACCCGCGATTTTCCCATGGCTGATTGCTAAGCCGGATGGGTGTGGGGGGGGGGGGCGTCCCAGCGCACTGGGTGGCGGACCCAGAAGTGGATTGAAAGTACTTCCAATCCACTTCTGGGTTCACTGCTGAGCATGCAGGGGTCCCCCCTCATTCTTGTGAGATGCTCCATCCACCCCAGCATTGCAGTGTTCATGAGTCACGCCTGGTACCTGGAGGCATGTAGAAAAAACATTTAAAGCTGTGTTTATGGCCTAATCACTGAGTCTCTGAATCAACATCAAATCTTCCAATTTGGATTTGGCCAAATCAAATCAGGGACAGTGACCCAAAGCAATTAATCAAATCACTGTCCCCAATTTGGCCCGAATCTGAATCGAATATGGCCCATTTCACACACCCCTACCATCTATCTATCTATCTATCTATCTATCTATCTATCTATCTATCTAAAAATGAAATAGA